AATACACATTATAAGAGGGCTGTGAGAACACAGGAGGGTTGTCATTCACATCAGTGATAGTGACAAGTACAGATTTCTTACTGGTCAAGGGAGGTGAGCCTGAGTCAGTGGCTGTAATTTCAATATTATATTCTGAAAAACGTTCTCTGTCTAAAACACCACTTGTAACGAGAGCGTAGTTGTCAGAAAATGAAGGTTTTAAAGTGAATGGAGGCCCACTTTTTAATTCTAATGAAACTTTTCCATTATTACCAGAGTCGAGGTCTCGTGCACTGATTAATGCTACAACAGTGCCTTTTGGTGCATCCTCGCGTACTGGGTTTGGTTTTGAAGTCAACACTATTTCTGGAGCATTATCATTCATGTCTATGACAACTATTTGCACGCGGCAGTGACCTTCCATCTCAGGGACACCTTTGTCTTTTGCAGTAATACGTAGTTCATGCACTGCATTGCTTTCATAATCTAAAGGCCCTATCAAAGAAATTTCACCTGTGTCTGGATTCAATTGAAAAACAGATAACAGTGATTCTGATGTGTGTTCAGCAAATGCGTATTGAATCGCTCCATTAACGCCCTCGTCTGCGTCTGCTGCTTCGACTTTAACGAGTACAGAACCAGAAACAATATTTTCATGTACTGATACATTATACAAAGCTTTTTTAAAAACAGGAACATTGTCGTTGATGTCAAGTACAGTAACTACGATTTTTGTCGTTCCAGTTTTTACAGGATTACCTCCATCTAACGCTGTCAGTAATAGCTGATGTACACTTTGCTTCTCTCTGTCAAGCGGTTTCTCTAGGACCAGCTCCGGAACCTGTCGGTCGCCAGACAACTCTTTCAGTTTCAAACTAAAACACTCGTTTTTACTTAATGTGTACGATTTAACGGAATTACTTCCAACGTCCTGATCCTGCGCGATGTCTAAAGGGAAGCGAATGCCTGTGGCAGTAGATTCTGCTATCTTTAAATATTTCTCCTCTGTTATAAAAACCGGAGAATTGTCATTTATGTCCCTTACTTCAATTTCTATACGATGCAGCTGCAAGGGATTCTCTGTTACAATTTGTAAAGGTAACACACAGCGGGCGCTTTGTCCACATAAAACCTCTCTGTCTATTCTGTCATTCACCACCAGCTCGCCCTTCCCCGCATCCACGCTGAAATACTGCTTACCAGTCTCAGAAGCTACACGCAGATTACGATAATAAATTTCAGATAATGCCAAACCCAGGTCTTTGGCAAGATTTCCTACCACAGAGCCCTGTTTTAGTTCTTCTGGTATGCTGTAACGAGTCTGTGCGTCTATTGTACTCCACAAGAGAAAGAAATGATGCCACCAAAACGCCTGCCATCTCCAGTCTCGGTATCCTATTCTCTTTGTCATCCTTGGTCCGTTAGAATATATTATTTCCCATCCAAATATTTATCGACAGAGCCCAGCATATAAAGCCATCACCAGAATGGATACTGTATAGAAAAATCCTTAAGCTATTTGTAATAAAATATATATTCCGGACGCCATTGGATAAGCGCATGTCCTCTCCACCTCCGAGCACAGAGAGGGTTACTGTGATGCGAGTGAATGGGGGATAGAGTAGATCTCTTTGTACAGTTCTGCATGCTATTGGTTCACAGCATCCAGTTTAAATATCCAATCACAGAGAGCTAAGCCTATTCATGAAACCAGTACACACTGCCAGAAGCGAAGCTGTACAAATGAAGGTTCAAGTCCGGTCTGTGTGATAATTTTCTCTCGAAAATTAAATATAAATAAAAAATAAATATAAATAAGAATATTAATTTAAAAGGGCAAAAGGTTTTCTAGTGATTACTGCAATGAATTAAGACCACATAAAAGATGCATTGTCTGTTCAGCTTAATATCAGCTCACAAATTGTACATCTCTGGTGTTATAGAAAAAACAACAACAATAAAATATGTTGTCGGTAGGCTTAAAAAAGATACATTTTGAATACGAAAAAATCACTTCGAGCTCATGCTTTGGTAAAAAAAAAAAGAAGTTCATAAGATTTTTAGATGCAATTCCGACAATCTTATTCTGAACAATATTTTAAATAGCTTATTTTAAGCCACAAAAAAGATTTGTTTTCAAAGTTGCACTTCGGTGTCATTTAAAATATATCAGGCGCAGGCAAAACAGTTCAATAGTATCAATTTATTCTCCCCTAATCATACTAGAGTCAAAACACACGAAAAATAAATTACTGCTGTCACTTGAAACCAATTTGATGTTAAATTTTCATTTAAAATGATATATTTTTTAAAAGATTATTTTGGAAATGTATGACAGCAATAATGAAAAGTGTATGCAGGTTATTTCTTCAATTTTCGCCTCACCTGCTGGCTCTCAAAGGTCCAGGTGCTGTCGGGCAAAGAAGCATCCAGGACACTAATCACCTCCTTAAAGTCTGTGGTGCTGCTGGGTTTAATCAGAGTGAAATCGCTGTACTCTGACATTGGAGACATACAGGACCTGAAGGACTGACTCTGAGACAGCATGTCTCCTCCCAGGACCTCCACGTACTTTATAGGTCCATCAGTGTTGAGCTGAATTTGCAGG